CCGACTGCCAAGCCAGAAAGACGTGCCTAAGCTTAGCTCTGTGTCCACAAGCCTGGTTTTCCCTGATTTCTCAGCAAAATACTTTCCCTCTACTGCTCTAACACGGACTAGGCTCTCCTGAGTGCCCGAGCACTATAAATAAGTAATGGGAAGAGCGCCTGGATTGGGCCTTTGCCAGATTTTGGTCCAAACTGTGGCGTGCGACCCAAACCAGCACAACTCCCACACCTACCTCATGGAGAGGTGACAGAGGGCAGATGCCAGAGGTCTGCCACTGCTCTTGCAGCTCACCTGCTTAGGACCAAAGACCACAAGGGGTTTGCCCCAGAAGCGTCGGCCACACCACTGGAACACCACCTACCTGGCAGCGGCAGAACACCTGGGCCTTCCATCGTGCCCAATTTAGGAAAGACTAGGACTCACAGAGGACACAAGCCCATGGCACACGGATGCTGACCTTCACACTGGCCTGGGGCGGGAGGGAGTCATTTCCTCGCCACCGCTATGCCATCTTAGCCCAAAACTCTCCAAGCCCAGTGTGGGAATCGGCTGAACGTGAGTCTCAGGGGCTACACCTGCCAGATACGTCATATCTGCACCGCCTCATAGAGACATTATCTGATGCTGAATGTGCCGGGTCCCAGTGGCTTTCTAAGCTTGTGACATTTACCGTGCTATTGTCTTATACAGCTTGACTCAGTGACATTCCTAGCTTAACTTTGTGGCAGAAATGCTTCTGCCATGTGTTCCTGGAGGGGCCTGCTGGCTAGCCTCATGCCCAAAGACTATAGGCCCTGCAAAAAGCCTGTTAAAACACTGTGTTCATGCCATTTCTTCATGCTGTTCGGGAACCGAACAGAGGCACAAACTATGGACGACCCCGGAGCTTGTGAAACCCTATCATCACCTCAGAACGATTCTAACCGCAGTGTTCTAATTGTTCGTCTAGCGGCCATCTTGTTCGCATGAACGCAGGAAGCGGTGTTTGGTCGTCGAGTTTATGGAATTAAAATCAGACAATGAAACTCCCGAACACCGCTGGACTTCCATCATCCACTGTGTTCAGTTCTGTAGATCCTAGAACAGTGTTCCGTGGTAACGTTCGTTTGGATGAGGGGAACAAGCTCCCTGGTTCAAATATAGACTACGTTTGATAATTCTTTTATTTTTATGTTACCGAAGTTGACCAACCGCTAGCACTGATTTCACGGAACTGTTTTGGGCATAGGACCATGTGTGCGTTTGGTCAAATAATTGACTTTCATGAAAAATCTTGAACCGATCTGGGTGATTTTTGGTTATGTTGGTCACCCAGATCTGGGCTATCAGGGGATGTAATTGTGTGGGGTTCTATGTGTTTTGGGGGTACTTTTGGGATGTTTGTAAATTGTATGTTTTTTGTACCTGAGAGATAATTGAATTATATGTTTGCTTCTCAGATAATTATCTCTCAGGTACAAAGGATCCTGGGAGGGATTTCCATGTATTCTTGTATTAGAAACCCTGTGCATGGGCTTGTGCATAAAAGGCCATGTGTGGCCTCTAATAAACAGATGACTCCCAGGCCTTGGCTCATGTGTGGGGGGCACAGCTATACTGCTCTTTGGATTATTATATCTGCTATACTCTATTGGAGGAGAGGTCTTCCCACTGGGAGCTGGATCCAGGTGGTTGGTCCAGGGTGGGACGGTGGTGTGTTCTTCACTTTGGCTGAGAACATCAAACTTGATGATCCCAGCCAATCCAATGCTTTCCCATTGGAAAACATTAGGAGGTTATTGTGCGGTAAAAAGCTGCACGGCCAATCAGCGCCTCCATGGGGAGCGTTCAGCACCTTCATGCAGACCCAATCTAATACACTGCCCCCTCCCCCCATTCTAATACATTGCCCCCAAATCCAATACACTGAACACCCTCCCCACTCTAATACACTGCCTCCTCCCCCAATCTAATACACTGCCCCTTATTCTAATATACTGCCCCCTCTACCCAATCTAATACACTGCCACCTCCACCCAATCTAATGCACTGCCCCTTTTCTAATACACTGCTCCTTATTCTAATACACTGCCAGCTCCCATCACTCTTATTAAATACACTGTCCTCCCTCCCACAATTTAATACACTGCCCTTCCCCCAAGTTAACATACTGTCCCCTCCCACAACTCTAAAACACTGCATACGCCTCCCACCACTAGTACACTGCCCACTACCTCACCCAATATAATCCACCTCCCCCAAATTAATACAGTGCCCCCTCCCTCCCTCAAATTAATACACTGGCCCCCTCCCTCACCCAAATTAATACACTGCTCCCTCCCTCAAATTAATACACTGCTCCCTCTCCCCAGTTTAACACACTACGCTACCCTTCTTCTCATACCTTAAGATGAGCCGCCCATCCTAAAGTTCCAGCCCTGCTATGCTCAAGCAAGCCAGAAGCTCCTCTGGCACTGCAAGCAGGAAGGAAGGGGGAGTGTCTGGCCTGCTCTGCAGACAGACAGGCACTCTGCCCTCTTGTGGCTGTGAATGAGAAAACAAGGATCAGATAGGAAAGAGCCTTGCGGCTAGTTGCAGCCACAGGAAAAGGGACCCCAGGGCAGGCGGGCCGCAAGTTTGACATGTTTGTTCTACATATTACAATGTGTTCTTGTTATATGAAGGAATTTAAGGATCAATCATAACATAATGCTGTCAGTTGATTGCTGACAGAAGAGTCACAACTCAGTTACTCTGAACCTTCCTGGAAGTTTTCCATATTCTAAAACTCAATCTTTCCAAAACTGGACTTATAATCTTTCCTCCTTCAAATATTTTACCTCTAATTTATCTTCCTGCAA